CCCCCACATCCCGCCCTTTGACATTGTAATGTCAATTTTTAGGCAGGCTGTGACGACTCCATCACGGTCTGTGAGGTCTACCAATGGCAGAGAGAGAAGGATAACGTTCTAACAAAAAGTGGGAAACACTCGCTAAAATAAATTTCCCAACGCAGAAATTGTAACTCACACGTCTCCTGTCTGCAAGCCACTGTGCACTGCGATGGAAATCACAATTTTAAAAAATTACCAGCTCACAAAAAGCAACGCAGTCTTACCAATAAAGACTGTCGTATTGTCATCAGTCATATTAGTAATGCTAGAAAATGAGAACCCCGGAAAAGGCCATGTACGGTAGTTTCGAGTTTTCAACCGAAGTCATTAAAAATTTGCATGCGTTAGGAAAGAGTCAATGGCATATTTTATCAGATCGATAGTCGCGGACGTGTTCTGCTCACTTTGAGCGCGCCCGGTGTGTTGACGTGGCACGCACGCTCGCTGTACACCACTCACCCACAGGGACAACAACAATAGCCTGGGATGACAAAACACAAAAGGCAGGTAACGCCATCAAGGGACCCATTACCCAACGAATGAGAGGATCCGTGGCGTCCATTCCATAAGAGAGACGGAGGGTGCACAATATTTTACCGATTTGCAGGAGGACGCGTACGATGGCAAAGGGTGGACTATTCCTGGAAAACTTTCGATTTGTTTGTTTGAGTAAAAAGAGAAGCACATCGACACATTAATGGTCACTTAGTGCTGGAAAAAAGTAAGACAGATAGAGAGAAACAACAGAGGGGAAGTAAACAAATAGAACATACCAATGGCACTCTCCAACCACTCACATTTTATTTTGAGCGAAAAGAAACACATCGACACAATGATGGTCATTTAGTGCTGAGGAAAAAAGTAAGAAAGAAACAAGAGAAGTAAGAAAAAAACAAGAGAAGTAAGAAAGAAACAAGAGAAGAAAGAAAGAAACAAGAGAAGAAAGAAAGAAATAAGAGAAGTAAGAAAGAAACAAGAGAAGAAAGAAAGAAATAAGAGAAGAAAGAAAGAAATAAGAGAAGAAAGAAAGAAACAAGAGAAGAAAGAAAGAAATAAGAGAAGTAAGAAAGAAACAAGAGAAGAAAGAAAGAAATAAGAGAAGTAAGAAAGAAACAAGAGAAGAAAGAAAGAAATAAGAGAAGAAAGAAAGAAACAAAAGAAGTAAGAAAGAAACAAGAGAGGGAAAGTAAAGAAGTGGGACCTTCTAGTGGCGCCCACTAACCACCCGCAGCAATGTTCGAGAACGGACACAAGTAAG